CGCGCGAAAAGAGCGGGAGTCCGCGCGGATTCAAGGGGGGGGGGGGAGGGGATATGGGGGGGGGGGGGGGGGGGGTAATGGCTGCGCGCGTTGCCATGGTGACGGCGCGGCCTGCTCGGCGCGGAGCCGCCCGGGGCCCCTCGGGCTGCGGCGGCTTCCAGGGCCCCTCACAGGGACCTGCCGCCTTATTGAAGACGAGAAATGACGACAGCGACGCCACCACCGTCACTGTGTCCCGCGTGGGTGGCCAYGGCCTTGCAAACACCCCCCTCCCGCCATCGCAGGGGTGGCACCCACGAGTCTCCACATCCAGAGGCAAATAAAGGTGTATTGACACACAAACACATAGCAGGCCGCAGTGACACGTACATACATAGGAAGGAGGGCACATAAATACACAGGAGGGGTATCAAACAGTCAAAGAGGGGAAGGAGGGAGCAGCGYCGTCCCCTGCGCCGGCCGGCGGAGCGGGAGCCTCCCGGGGCCGGCGGCGGCCGCTCRCCCTCAGCCTCCTTGGTTCCTGCTTCTCCGCAGCTCGGCCAGCGAGTCCACGATCTCTGCGGAGCACCGGGGCGAGTGAGCGCGCACGGGGCAGCCCCCCCCGCGCCCCCGACCTGCTCCTGCTCCCGCTTCCAGCCATTGATGGCCCCGAGCCCGAGGCAGGAAATTCCTGCCCTGGATCGTGTGGGAAAGGGCCGGAGGTGGGAGCTGAGCCCGGCCTTGAGCACTTACGCTCGGCAGAAGGGCGCTGCGAGGGCTCGAAGGCCCGGCACTGCTCGATGGTTTTCCTCAGGCCCTCGGGACAGTCCTCCCCCAGGGGCTCCTGGTAATGGTGCTCGCAGATCTTCTCCCGGATCTCCTGCGGAGTGCAGCCTGCTCCGACACACACGCGGACAGGGAGGTCAGGACAGCACCGCGGCAGAGCAAGGCCTACAAGGAAGCCCCCTCCCCACCACAGCAAGGAGATGTGATCAGGCCCCAGCACACAGCAGCACCAAACAGACACGGAATGGCCGCCGGGCTTGCGGGTTAAGCACGTGCCGCGATGTCGGCTGTGCCCACACTGGAGCGCCGGGAAAAGCCGTGTTTAAGGGCTGTTAGGCTGCAGGTGGAACAGACCCAGGTGTCACGGGCACCACTGACAGGCCCCACACGCATCTGGGTGCTCCGTCCGGAGCAGAGCGGGCAGTATCCGACGCCACGTCCGGTCTCCCAGCTGGGGACTTTGACCCAGGGGACCCGGCGCTTCTGTCTCACCTTCAAAGGGGATTTTGGAGGTGGCAATCTCCCAGAGCACGATGCCGAAGCTGAAACGAGAGAAGCAAGAGCGTGTCTGCGATGACACTGCTGCCTCATCCTGCCCCGCCTCGCATGCTGGTCATGTCAGCCCCAGAGAGCTGCCTGGTGGAGGCCCATCTGGTTATGGGCCCCTTCCACAGCTCGCCATCGCTCCCTGGAGAGCCCTGGCTGGGGCAGACATACCTGTATATTTCATAGGGCCTCTTATAGGGGTAGCAGATGTCTTGCAAGTTCTCAGGGGCGACGTAGGCCAGCGTAGAGACTTTGTTCCAGTTCTTCTTCTTGACTTTCCTCTTGATGGACGTCTCTGTTTCACACAGCTCAAATCCTGACAGCTGATKAAGAGGATGAGAGAGTAGCAAAACAGAGTCAAAAGCAGGGGGGTTGGACTAGATGACCTCTGAGGTCCCTTCCAACCTTAAGCATTCTATGAATCTATCTATGAAAAGAGCAAGTGTCTAAGGTGAGAGGGGAGATGAGTCCCCCTAGTTGTTATTCTGGACTATGATAATTCTCTTTTGAGGTGGTGGGAGGAGACATCCACAAAACCAAGCAAAACAACCCAAAGCCCCTCAGAGCACGGTCCTCACCTTCACGCAATAATCTCCGGCCACCAAGAACTTGCTGCTGTTGATGCACCCGTGAAGCCTGGACTTCTTTTCTGTCTGGTGCAACCTGCAGCCGGCCGGAGGCAGGGGCAACGGGTGACGTTCCCACCTCCAGCAAACCCGAGATGGGCACTGCCGTATCCCAACCACGTCCTCCCGCTCCCGCAGCCGCCTTTCCAGATGTGCCCCATCTCCGTGCCCGTGCTCACCGGTAGAGACCTCGCGCGGCGCCCAGGGCCATGCGCAGGCGCGTGTCCCAGGAGAGCTGCTGCTTGCTGAGCACCTCGCGCAGGGTCCCGTGCTCGCAGTACTCCATGACGATGGAGAAGCAAGGGCTCCCATCTGTCCCAAAGAGGGGGGCTCTTTTTGGTGTGGGGATGGTTAGTGCCCACACAGGGACTGGGCACGGCAGCGGTGGCTTCAGCAGTGGTCCCCATGTGCCCTGGGGCCTGCGCCACCAGCCAGTGGCTCCGCTGGGCACAGCAGGGCGGGCCACGGGCGCTTGATATTAGGGCCCAGGATGTATTTCCAGGTTGTGCGTGGAATCACCACACAGTGCAAAAGAGTCAGTATCACCCTTGGAGAAAGGCACCATAACTGGGAAACTATTGGTTGAACGGGTATGAAACCACAGCCCAGTGGGCTCCGGTTCTCCTGACATCCTGCTCCGCTTCCCACACTAAGTTACGCTCGTATTTTTCTTTTTATAGTTATTTTTGCACTTCACCGCARTGCATGGCAGCAGCACAGACCTGCCCCAGCTCCGCCAGGCTGCAGGACACTCTGTGCTCCTGGGAGGGAAGGGGAACCCTGCTCACCCCAGTGCCACCTCTTAGGAGAGACCAGAAAAAGAGGGGGCAGAAGGGAGGAAAGCAGGGCTGGAGCCTCACCTCGCTCCTCGATGCAGATGCCGTACATGCGCAGGATGTTGGGCGACTCAAACTTCTTCAGCGTGCGAACCTCCTTCTCAAAGATGTCCCTCACCTTCCTGCAGGAGGTTGCAGCAGGATGAGGGGCCCCGAGCAAGGCGCCATGCTCAGGCCCCCCCAGCCCGCCCAAACAGCCCATCCCAGTGAGCCCCGCATGGAGACACCTCCTTGGCATCACGGGCATCTCTCTCCCCTCTGGCCTACATCTCCACGCCGGGAAAAGCAGCAGCATCTCCGATGGCGGCACCCAAAGCAGCAATCTGCCCACCCCGGACACCCTGTGCTGCCCGGCTCTTCTCACGAGCAGCGCCGTGTCCTCACACAGCCAACGCACACGGAGTCAGTGGTGAGCGGCCTCTTGAAGGTCTTGATGGCGACCGGGTACTTGAGATACTCTCCCTCGTAGAGGTCATAGCTCTCGGTGTCCTGCAGGTGCCGGCGGAAGGTGAGTTGCTCCCGCTGGATCTCGGTGATGTCCTCCCTTTTGTCCACGTCCGCTTTCTTCAAGCCTGCTCCACCAATGCAAGAAGGGGCGGGTTGGGCAGTGCTCGGTGGGACGGATGTGTGACAACACAAGACGGATGGAGAGGATGGTTTCTTAAACAGTGTTTACTGGTGTCTAGGGGTGCCCAYGTGCCCCATCCCAGAGCTCTGTGCACAGGGGCACGTCACTACCCATCTTGCAGCCCCATCACCCTCCTTCCCCATGCACTTAAGGACACAGAAACCAGTTGCAAAGATGAAATATCCGGTGGACTCCCGGCCCTTCTTGCGACGGCAGCGATTGAGCAAGGCAGGAGCCCRGCCGTGAGCAGTGCCACAAGCAGGGAGGTGGGAGCCCGTGCCCGGCGCCGCGTCGGCAGCCACTCACACTCCATCATGTGCACAACTTTGTGCAGCTCGCTCTGCATCCAGTCTACCCGGCGCTCCACGCCTCGCCTGGAGAGAGGGAACTCGGCGCCCAGCGGTGGCTCGGTGCCTGCGGAGAGCGGAGGGAGAAGCCGACACCAGATCAACACGCGGGATGCTAGTTCTGTTTGATGTCAGGCAGTGCAGCTGTGCTCGGACACAGTGCTAAGTGGGAGCCACATTTGCTTACTCGCAATCACCTCGTCCACGAAAGCCCTGTCGTTGCGCAGGTCCTCGGCGTCCTGCCGGCGGCAGGTCTTGGCCTGGAAGGCCTCCAGCAGGACCTGCTTCTGCTCGGCCTGCAGCAGGAGCGAGAGCCCCTGCGCCACGTCCCCCAGGCTCTCSTTGACGCGCGCAAACTCCTCGCTGCTGCTGTGGGCGCACAGGAACTTCTGGATCCAGCTCGCTTGGCTGTACTTGGCCACGAGCCCGTTGGCATCCGCCAGTGCGCGCAGCAGCTTGCTCAGCAGCTGCTCCTCGTGGCAGGAGAGGCGCGCGGCCGGCTGCRCGCGGAGCACGCGCACGGGCTCCAGCAAGGTGCGGATCCGCTCCACCAGCCGCTGGCACTGGTGCTTGCAGCACTTCACCTGCTCCAGCTGCGCCGAGATGCTCTGCGCTACCAAGAAGACCTTCTCCACGATGTCCATGGCGGCCACCTCTGCATACAAGGAGGGCACGGAGCCTCAGCGCGGCGTGCGGATCCCCTGCCCCTCTCGCCCTACATGCCCATTTGCCCTCCCTATCGCTTCRGATTTTAAACCAAACTCTCCTACAGGCGCCTTCCCTCCCGCTCCCTTCCCACCCTTCCCTCCAGAGCTTACGTGGTCCTGCCTCACTCGTCTCCACCGCAAACTGGCGAGGAAGAGGAGGGCGCCAGGCCTTTACGGGGCGCTCCCGGCGGCGCCGCTTCCCGGGCCAGCGGAAGGGGCATTGCACAAGCTGGGCCRCCTTCTTGCACAGCCTAAACCACGGAGCAGCTCCCGGAGCCACGTGGCAATTCTGGGAAGGCGGCCGTGCCGCCGCCGGAAGGGCCCACGTTGCTTTTACGGAGCAGGAGGAGGATTTGACCGCACGGAGGGCGGAGAAGACCTGGCAGGGCGAGAAGGGGCTGGGGTCTGGCCAGCTCGCTGGGGTCGGCGCTTGCAGGACACCCGTTATTTCGGTACCCACCGTTATTTCGGGGTGCAACACACCTCCTGTCGCCGTCCCCAGGAGGATGCACCAGGGCGCTGCCATGGGGGTGCCAGCTCTTGCACCCCCATGGTCCTTCCGCGCTGGGCACCCAGCAGCAAAACTCTCCCCCACAGGAAGGTTGGGCGGCGTGGCAGCCACGGGCAGATCCGCAGCCTCCCGTCCCCGCGTCGTCCTCGGCGCCAACGGGAAGTGAAGAAAGGGCTGCCGGGCAGCGCAGCAGGGCCTGCGCGCCGGGAAGCCGCTGCCCGGAGTGCAGGAAACCCCAGGCGGCCGGGAAAAGCAGCGGGACGCGCTGGGAAACCGCGGAGAAGGGGCCTGGCCGCCCCGTGTGCGACGGGAGCTGCTCACCCAGGAGGAAGCCCCCGTGGGTTCCCTCTCCTCCCAGGGCAGGCGCCAGGGCTCCCAATTCCCCTCCGTGAGCCCGGCCCTGGCACGGCGCCGGCCGCCCGGTGCCCCTTCTSGAAAGCCTTATTATTTTTTCTTTTTTTATTGTTTCTTTTCAAAATATACAGTTTATTTACAGTTGACATGTCCACAGTTTTACATATAACTTTATTCCAAACCTTTAAATATCAGAAGTAAACATTAGGAAAAAAAAAAAARAAGAAAATGGAAATCACAGGATCAGCCAAAAAAGGGGAAAAAAAAGGCATCTTGGGTAATTGTGTTCATTGCAGTTTGAGTTTCAAGTAGTCAATGTCTACACAACCCATTAACGTGATAAATCTGGCATAGAGACACAGTGCGCTRGTTAAGAACAAGGCAGAACCACAGACCTGCCGGATCCCCCATCCCCGACGGCGGCAGGTCCCGGGAAAGGCCGCGCCAGGAGTGAGGGGAAGAGCCGCTTCCCAAGGCCAGAGCCCCTTGGAGCGAGCGCCGCGGGGCCGGAGGGCAGCGGGACGGGGCGCGGAGGAGCTGCGGCCGCGGGTCGGGGCCGTGCCCGCGGCGCCGGCGCCCTGCCCGGGGTGCTCTCCGGGACGCGAGGCCTCCATCCCGCCGCGCGTCCCGCAGGGAGCGAGCGGGAAGCGTCGGGCCCTTCATCTCCGGGGCAGCCGCGGAGCTGCCCGCGCGTCAGTGGCACGAGGGAGCGGGAGGGCGGCGAGGCCCCCGGTGATCCCCCCGGGGGTCATGCGGAGCGGGAAAAGCGCCCGGCCCGGCACTGCCCACTCCTCCTCCCCGGCAGGGAAGGCGCCGGCAGCGCCGCCCGGGCCGGAGAGCCGGAGGGCGGGCGCGCGAGGGAGCCCCGTGGGGCCGGAGCCCTCACTCCTCTTTCTCGAAGGTCTCCTCGGGGATGAGCGTCCGGAAGGGGTAGTCCCAGAAGCGGGTGCTGATGCCGAAACCTGCGGGGTGGCCGAGAGGGCGCTCAGGGGGACGGAGGCGCCGCGCGACCCGCTGCCCGGCTCCGCTCGGGGGCCGGTGGGGCGAGAGGAGGCCCTGTGATGTTAATGATGAGGAGGAGGCCAAGGCCAGCCYGAGGGCGGGCGAGGGAGGCTGCGGAAGGAGGCGGCAGCCCATCCCTGCCCCAGGGTGAGGAGGAAGAGGGAGGAAGAGCAGAGGGAGCGAGGGCTGGTGCCAGGTGGCGGCGGGGCCGCCCCACGGCTTATCTGCGCGGGGCGCGTTCTCCTAGGAGACCGGGCAAAGGGCGGCTTGAGCAAGCGCGGGGGCCTCACCCTGCGCCCGCGCCGGCCCCGGGCGCCGCCGCGTCCACCGCCCGCCACGCTCGGCCCCGCACGCGGCCCCTGGGGGAGGCTGAGCAGCATCGCGCCATCGCCCCCGGCCGAAACGCCGCCCATTTGCACCCAAAGGCACTGCCCTCTGCTCTCAGCCAAGGAGACGCGCGCTCCCGAGCCCCTCATTTAACCTCAGTTAAACCGGCATCAACGTGCCCGCCGGTGGGCCCAGGGCACCCGGAGCGACGCCGAGCGCGTGTGTCCCTGCAGGGAGCCGCGGGCAGGGAGCAAAGGGGACCCCACGCTTGTCCCAGGCCTTGCAAACCTCCTGGTACCTCAGCCACCCCGTGGCACCCAAAGCACGTGGYGCCCGCCCCGTTACCTGCTTTCTGGTGCTCGAAGTGGTGCTTCACGTGGTAGGCCTTCAGCCCGTACAGGTACGTGCCCTTCCTCGGCGAGCCGTAGTGCAGGTAATAGTGCATCATGTCGTAGATCACGTAGCCGCAGAGGCCCCCGACGAACACGGAGAGCCCCAGCATCTCCGGCAGCAGGATGCGGAGCAGCCCGTAGAAGAAGCCGATGACGAGCGCCGCCGGCACGGGGGGAAACACCAGGCGCGAGCTGTCAAAGGGCGACTGCAAGAGGAGGAGGATGGTGAGGAAGGAGCTCCGGCCCCTCCGGATCCCCCATCCCAGCCGGGAGCCTGCTAAAAGCCTGACGGAGCCCCCGGCCAGGCCTGGAGTGGCCCAGCAAACCCTGTCCCCAAAGAGCCCCTTCTCGGCCACCCTGTGCTCCAGCTGGGCCTCTTGTAGCTGCAGCGCTGGCTTCTCAGAACGCCCTTTTGCTCTTTTTCTTCTTTTGGAAAACAAATAACCAAAGAACAAGAGCAAAGCAGCACCCAGTCTCCCCTTGCAGGTCTACCCGCAGTGGGAGCAGCCCGTTGCTGGCAGCGGCTCGGCAGGACGCTCCCGGCTCCACGGGGACGTTTCCTGCAGTGAAGCTAGAGGGAGCCCGTCGCTTTTAGCTCTTTCCATCACCCGGCACCAGCAGAGCCGCCACATCCAGCCTCAAGCTTTGGGGGACCCATGACCAGGAACTGCCATCCCCGGCATCACATAAGGGCGCCCGCTCTGGCCCGTGACACCGCTGGGGACAGTGAGGCCACACGGCACGTCCRAGGTGCTCCGAGAGGCTCCGCCCGGGCAAAGTCCGACGGTGCCACGGACGGGGCCGGTGCGGTGGCCGCCACTCACCTTGTGATGCTGGCCGTGCAACAAGAAATGCAGCGTGATGAGATAGTAGTTACTGGCGGGCGGCTTCATGTGGAAGACAAAGCGGTGGATGAGGTACTCGATCAGGGACCACAGGAACATGCCCAGGAGGAAGATGAAGGGGAAGTAGTATTTGTGCACAGGGATGGAGTACTCTGCACAAGGAGACGGGCAGCAGTCAGTGGCCCTGGCGGTGCCGCGGCCCTCCCCACGCTTCCATCGCGCTCCCCAAAGGTTATAAAGCAGCAAAGCCCCCTCTGCAGCAGCGCTGGGTTTGGGCAAGGCCGAGTGCCCCCCTGGGCGGGCGCAGCGGCCRCTGGCACCGCGTGGCACCTCGCCGAGAGGAGCCGAGCGGCCGCAAACAGGGCGCTCCAGAACAAAGGACACAGGCGGCCCCGGGGCRCCGCCGCCACCGCCGCCGCGCTTGTTGTTCCCGGACAGAGGGAGATTGAAGGGCAGGCGCTGGGGGCAAACAAGCGCCGCTCTGTGCGCGGCCGCGGCGCTCAGAGCCGGGTTTGTTCCCGCGCGGCGGCCGGCCCGCGCCGTGGGCGGGAGCGCGCGGTGGCACACGGAGGGGCAGGGGACGGGAGAGCGCCCGGCAGCACTTTGGGCTCATTTGTGGCTGGGGTGGGAGGGGGTCCAGACCTTTTGACACCCCAAAAACGCTGCGAAGGGCAGCAAGTCCTTCCCTGCTTCCAGGTCTCCCACAGGCTCCCGTCCTGCAGGGACGGCCCTGGCCTCGCCGATGGGAGCTCAGTGCCGGCAGCCCCCAAGCTGCACGCGGGTGTGCAAGGGGACAGGGTGGGCGGCAGTGCGGGCTGTGCTGCAGGGCAGGCTGCATGCGGGCTGTGCATGCAGGACAGCCCCTGCTCCCGCATGCCGGGATGCAGCGGCGGGCGAGCGGCGCAAGCTCCGGGCAGGCTGCAGCACCGCTGCGGGCGCTGCCGCGGCTCCCTACCTGTGGTGAAGGAGGAGAAGAGGCGGGTGTTGCCCTGAGCCAGCGCCGTGTAGCTGACCCAGCTGAGATAGAGCACCACGGGCGTCCACACCAGGAACACCACGTACCTGGAGCGGGGGCACGAGGCAGGYGTCAGCGGCGCCCGCGAGCCCGCCCGGCGCGGCATGGCCCCGGCGGGCACTCACCACGCCGTCTTGGAGAGCGCCTCCACGAAGTCCGAGTGGAAGAGGCGGATGGGCCGGTCCACGGGCTGGTGCACCCACTCGTCGTACTTCTCGCCCAGGTGGCCCACCTGCCACAGCAGCGGCTTGCGCCAGTCCACCAGGTCCTGGGGGGGCACAGGGCGTCACCAGTGCCACTCGGTGTGGGGCTGCGCTGCCCGGCACCCCACCACCTGCTCAAGGGGCACCACCACGATGCTTCTCCCCATCGAGCTATCGAGATCAAACAGCAGCCCCAGATGCCCCTGGCTTGGCCAGCAAGCGGCCAGGACTACGGACATCCCCAGGATGTCTCCCCACTACCACCCTTGTTGCCTGATGCAGAGTGAAACAGGAGCACGGGGAGAGGACATGAGATGGGAAGGGGGATTCAAATTCCTCTGCTGCACGCGGTCGCCTTCCCGCAACGGGACATGGAGAGACCCAGGCATCCAGCTTCACGTGCCCACATGGGCAAGCAGCTCTGGGYGGGAAGGAGAGGCCCGAGCGGCAGCGCTGCCTCCCGCGGCCGTCGCAATCGCCGAGGCGCCTCTTCCATGGGCTGTGCCAGGTAGGGCTGTTTCTCCATCCCTCCCGTGCCCCAGGACAGATACCGCGCGGGCGCAGGCAAGCGCGGGAGGCGCCGGCTGCCCCGCGGCGCCCGCGCTCTGACTAAACCCATGGCCACAGCGGGTGCCCGATGCGACCAGCCCGGCGGGATGGGGCCRCAATCCCACATCCTTTGGGGTCACCATCATCCCACTCACTCAACCCAACCACCACGGAGAACATCCCATGGGCACCGGGAGGAGCGGCCCGCAGAGCAGCTCGGGGCTTCCCCGGCTCCCTCGTTAGCCCGTTGGCTAATGCCAGGCTGCGCGCRACCCGTCCCCAGCGCTCACCGTGTCCGGATCCACCGTTTTACACCGCGGATCCATCCTGCTCGGTGCAGGAGCTGCAACATCCAGCAGCTTCTCTTCCTCCAGGAGACTCTGCAAAGACAAGAAGAGGACAGGGCCATCAGTCTCCCGTGGCTGCCACATCCCCAAATGACAGGGGAGAACTCACTGCTACCAAGGCTTTGTGGGTTTTTTTTTTTTTTTTTTTTTTTTTTTTCAAAATTTGCACCACAAAAAGGTTAATTTAGGATGTGCAGTCATTTGGGGTTAAAACTCCAAAATGGTCCCAGTTAATCCCCACCAAACAGAGCTCCCCTTGCTACCCAAGTACCAACCATGGGGCATCTCCCCACCAAGCCTGCCCGGCCCCACGAGCACCCACAGCGGATGGGAACCAGGCCCCGCTGGGACATGGGTCCCGTTGGGCGGCCACGCTCCTAAAAGCGTGCCCAAAAAGCACCCCAAAAGCATCCAATAAAAGGGATGCAAGGAGTAAAGAGGCTGGGAGGCACAAGCCTCCTGCGCCAGGCCCCRCGGGGATGTGGCACCGTGCTGCCCTTGAACATAGGGCAACAAAGTGCCCAAGGGCTTGGGGACGGCAGCGCCCTTGGGCCCGCAGGCTCCTTCTGCCGCTAAATACGCGCGGGAGAAGCACCTGCGGAGCCCAGCGCCCTCGCAGCGGCTGCCAAGGGCACCCGTGCCCAAGGGCRCTGGGTCGCGGGCGTCTCTAATCGCCGCGGGGCCAGGAGGGGACGGTGCAGCCTGGCACTGTGCGCCCTGCCAGGTACCACGGGCAGACCCGCGGCTCGGCTCGGCGGAGGAGCTCGGCCCGGGCAAGAGGTGCCCGAGCACGTGGAAAAACCCAGGCAGGAGCCGCTGCTGGCTCTGCCTGCGTGCCCAAGGAGGCGGCGGCCCCGGGGCGGCCGTGCCCCGGCGGCGAGCACAGCCCCGGCACGGGCATGCCGAGCGTGCCTTTTCCTCCGGCTTCCCCGCTCCGAGTTACCCATTAACCAGGAGCAGGGCCCGGCCCGGCCGAGCAGCCCAGCTCCACGATGCCTGCTCGCTTTTCCGGGTGCCGAGAGGCTCCATTTTTCCCAGCGGATGCTTTGGGCCATGCTCTGGGCCACTGAAAGGCCTCACATGGCAACAGCCCCTCCCCGTAATCCCCGTGCAGCAAAGAGGCGCTGGCAGCCGGGGGTGAAGGAGGAGGTCGAGCGGCGTCACCTGGACGGGGCGGACAGGACTTTAGTCCGTATCATGCCGGCGGCGCTGACGYAGAGCCCCGGCGCTGTTTGCCGATACCAGACACTCCTTGCGGGACGGGCTCCGGAGCCGCTTGTCAGATGGAGCCCAAGCTGCATCCCGGGGCGGGGCGGGAGCCGGGACGGGCCGCGTTCCCGCCGGGACGGGCCCCGCGTGCCAGGTGGGCCCTTTGCAACGTGAGCTCATGGCACGACCCCATGCCGCCGATCTGCCCGTGACCCCCCAGCCGGATTTCCAAAGGTCCCTGCCAAAATTCTCAAGCTTCCCACACACCTTCCTTCAGCCGGGCAGCACCACACGCCAAGAYAGGAGGGAAACATCCCTGGAAATGCAGTGAGCTGCAGCTTGGCCGGGGGGTTTTGGGAGGAAATGAGCCGGTTCACAACAGCCGGGGTTGCTCCCCGCCACGCTCGCTGCCGGGACGGATGCTCAGGCCCTGCCGCAGCAGCCCCACGGCCTCTCCTCGTCTCCTGCCCTTCCGGCACTTATCAACATGTACAAACACCTGAGGGGAGAAGGTGGGGAGGAAGGGGCCAAGCTCTTCGTGGTGCTGGCCAGTGACAGGACAAGGGGCAATGGGGAAACCCAGRCAGGTCCATCTGCATGTGAGGAGGAACTTCTGCCCTGTGAGGGTGCCAGAGCCCTGGCACAGGCTGCCCAGGGAGGCTGGGGAGTCTCCTTCTCTGGAGGTCTTCAAACCTGCCTGGATGCCACCCTGTGCTCTGGGTGTCCCTGCTTGAGCAGGGGGGTTGGACTGGATGATCTGTAGAGCTGCCTTCCAACCCCAGCCATTCTGCCATTCCATGTGCCATGTCCCCAGCCCTGCAAGCCACAGTGGATGACGCTACTGGCCCCAGAGCATCCGAAGCATGGGCCAAGGGGGACTGCAGAGAGACCCCGCGGGCGCCCAGGGCGTTGGGAGCCGCGCGCGCCGCTCGGGAAGCGCCCGAGGGCTGCGCGTCGCGCTGGGCGYAGCAGCAGTGAAAGCGGCTGGAAGGCAGCTCGGCCAATAAATATATAAATAAGTAGAGGCGACACGCACAGCCCCGTTGGTGCAGCGCTGCCCAGGCCGGCGGGCGCGCGGCGGGCCCGGGGCGCAGGCGAGGCCAGGCCGCCTCCCCGGGGAGCCGGGGCCCGCGTTGACTCACAGGGACGTCACGCAGCCCAGCGGGGCTCTGATGAAAGCCCTGCCGTTGCTCAAACCCCAGCGCTAATTAGACGATCCCTCTCCCCTCCAGCGGCGCTGTTCACATCCCGCTCGGGTAATTATCACGTCGCGCTTTGATCTCCCTAAATGCCACTTGTGCGGAAATTAAGACGGGATTTATATTTACTTTTTTTTTTTTTTTTTTTTTTTTTGGTAATCTATCTAGAGAGATCAGGCTCCGTGATTCAGGCGGGGAGCCACCAGGGCCGCCCGGGCGCGGGGCGGGCGCTGTGGCACGGCCCTCGCAGCGGGGAACCCGTCGGGCCGGTACCTCCGTTCGCCCCAACCCGTCGGGCTTGTTCCGCCCGCCGGGAGTCACGGGCCGGCCGAGCGCCCCGAGAGCGGCACTACCCGGGGTGAGAGCCGGCGTCGCGCCCACCGCTCACCCCACGGCAGCCAGCGCGGGCCCTGGCACCCAGGGCCAAAAAGATAGGGAAAAGAGAGGAAAAAGAAGAAAAATGAGATTAAAAAAGAAAAAAAGAAACACAAGCGCAAACAGAACGAAGGGCCAGCAGCACGGCCGGCCGGTCAGTGCCCCGTGCTGGAACGTCCCGCAAGGGCAGAGCCCCAGAGGGAAGGGGGAAGCAAGAGAAGRGAATGGGAAGCGCCGGGGCGGCAGCGAGGAGCCTTCCCTCCCACCGGGCGCGTTCCCCGGCGGTGGCGGCGCTGAGTCACGGCGACGGGCACAGGTGGCGGGGCCGCCCGGTGCCGCTCCCTGCCGACAGGTTCCCCTGCCCGGCCCGCGGTGCCGCGCGGGCCTGGCGCCAGCGCCCGCCGCTGCACAAGGCCCGTGCGGAGCCGCACGTCCTCGTGCGCAGYGCCCTGTGCCCCACGCCCTGTGCCCGTGGGGCGGGAGCAGCACCGGGCACACACACGGCGGCTCCGCAGGGCGCTCGGCACCGCGGTGCTGAGCAGCGGGACACAGCGGCTGCACAGCCCCTGCACCTCAGACCCCATAGAGCCCCCCGGACACTGCCCCGTGCCCCCCGCAGACACCAGCCCGAGGGTCTGCGGCCCCGTGCCCGGTGCCCCGCGGGCGCCGCTACCTGCTCGTCGGCGGGCTCCAGCTCGCCCACGTAGTACTGCTCGAGCCAGCGGCGCGCGTTGGCCGAGTGCCGGTGCGGCGGCCCGTCGAGCGCGGCGCTCACGTCGGTGCCGGCGCGGCGGCGCAGCAGCTGCTCGCCGCCCGGGTGCAGCCGCACGAAGGCCGACAGGTCGTAGAGGCGGCGGCGGCAGCGCACGAGGCAGGCGCCCTGCGCGCAGCGCGCCCGCACCTCGGCGCCGCTCAGCGTGCGCGGCGCCGCCGCCATGGCCGCAGCCGCTGCCCGAGCCGCTGCCGTCGCGCCCCGTCCCGTCCCGTCCCGTCGCGGAGCGGCGGCACTGCCGCCACCTGCTCATCTGCATACATGAATATCCCGCCCGGAGCCACGCCCACGGCACGCCCCCCCGCGCCGCTGGCCACGCCCCCGTCCCGGACGGGAGGTGCTGCGGGGCGGGGGGGGGCATGGGGAGGGTCCGGGGGGTGTGGGGCGCCCTGCTGAGGGAGGGGGTGGCACGTCGGGGGATGGGGTGCGGTGTGGGGCACACGTGGAGCGAAGGGGGTGTTGGGGGGGCCCTGGGGGATATGAGGCATGGGCTGGAGCACCCAGGGCAATGGGGGCTCATGGGGTACACCGCAGCAAGGGGGGCCATCGATGCCCACCCGGGAGGGCTGTCCCTGCGCGCCCCCAACGCCACCCGCCCAGGAAACGGGTGGGTGCCCGACGTGGCCTGTAATAAAGACAGGGGCGCGAGGCGGGCGCCGAGCGCGGCCGCCCCGGGCTGTGGCCCCGAGCTGGGAAGCGGCCGCCCTGTCATTATGCCCTGTGCGGTGGGGCAGGCGGGCGCCCCGGGCCGCGTCCCTGCTCGGCCGCCCTCGTCTGCACCCGCGGATGCGGCCCGGCCGCTCCCCGGCGCCCGCTGGCAGCCAGGGGTGTCCCAGCGTGGGCCGCCGGGCGTAGGTGTCCTGCTGGAGCCGGGCGCCCGCCCTGGGCACGACGGAAACAGAGGCTCCTTGTGGCCACTCCGCAATGGGGCTGCTGGCCCTGAGTGTGACCGCGGGGCTGACGCAGCCCAGCGCAGACCCCCATGATGCTGAGCTCCCAAACTGCCCTGTTTTCCCCCAAAAGAGATTTGGAGAAGCTCCATGTGGAGGTGCAGGGAGGCACCCGGCTGCAGCTCCCACACTGGGATCAGGGTGTTTCACTGGGTGTCAAGGCAGGACGCGGGAGATGTGGCGGATGCTGCCCGCGCTGCTGTGCCCGGCCAGCATTGGGCTGGGTGGCTGAGCAGGAGGAGGAGGAGGAGGAGGAGGAGGAGGAGGAGAGCCACCTGCCCCAGCAGAGCTGGTCCTGCCGGCGTCCCAGCTCCGGGGTGTCCTCGGCGTCCCCGGGCCGCGGTGCTGCCACCAGCGCAGCCCCCAGCGCCGCCCGTCCGCCCCGGCGCGGCGCCCGCCGGCCGCACAGCGCCACGGCCAGGCATTTCCGTGCCTGCCCTCCCACCTGCTGGACGTGGCCCGCAAAGCCCTGTCATGCCTGGCCTAGGATGAAGCCTCTGGCCTGGGGCATCCTGCCAGGGCCCGTGCTGTGTTGGGGCTCTCTAGGGCCCTGCAGCCTCCAAGGGTCCGGGATCCCAAGCCCTCGGAGTGCAGAGCGGCCGCGGTGCCCCGAGGGAAGCGCTTTCGCACCCTTCCTACGCTCGGGAACGCGCTCGCCTGCCTGCCTGCTTGGAGCCACCTTAGCTCCATACTCCAGGAGAGCAGAAATGAGGAGCGAACCTCCCTCTCCGCCAGCCCCCACTGCATCCCTCCCCTGCCGCATCCCCCAGGCTACTGCATCACCCTGCGGACAAGCACCAGCRCAGCCCTCCATTCCTCCCTGAGCAAAGTCGGGATCTGCAGGTGGCTTTTGGAAATGGAGAGCCAGAGCCCTAGWGGGATGCGGACACGCCGGCCACCCTCCTGGTGGCAATTTCCCTTTGGCCTCTCTTCTCTTTCGACTGCTCCGAGGGCCGGGTGGGTGCAAGGCGGGTGCTCCCTGCACCCAGAGCCCTGGGCGCGGTGGCCTCTGATGCCGGGACGTGACGCTACCCGTTCCCACAGGGGCGAGCGCCCTGCTGCACCCGCACAGGCGCTCAGTGCTCTCCAAACCGCCCAGACGGGGAAGCTCTTTGCACTTCAGCAGTATTTTCCAAAGAGCCCAGGAATGAGAGGACAAACGGTTGTGGCTGGAGCAGAGGGACAGCCCCGGGTGCGGGCAGAGCAGCGCAGCCCTTCCCAGCTGGCCGCTGCCGAAGCCGCACGCTCCCGCTCCCAGCCGGCCGGGGGCTAAGCCGGCCCCGCTTCCTTGCGAGAGGCCCGTGTGCGTTGAGCAAGACTCCCTCGCAAGGCAAGCGCGGCACACACGGCAGGGCGGGAGCCGCGCGCCCGCGGCGCCGGGGAGGAAACCCACCTACACGCGCCGCGTTGCACAAGCGCCGCGGCCAGGGCCTTTCCGCCTTCCTCCACACCTGCCCAGCCGCTAACGAGCTGCAGGAAGGCGCCTTACGAGCCATTAATGAGGAGTCTCCTTTCCCTAACGAGCCCCAGGGCCGCCCGCGAGGGCAGGAGGCGCTGGCAGCGCAGCGCGCCCACGAACGGCACGGAGGGAACGTCCCAGGGGGAAGCGTCACGGGGAGTGGGGCCCACGCGGCGCCCCGAGGGTCGCGCCGGGAGCCCCCCTGCTCCGCGGGGCTCTGCTGCCACCGCGCGGCACCGGAGGCGGCAGGAGGAGCCGCTGAGCGAGAACGAGCGCCGCGACGGCAGCGCGTCCAAAAATGCTTTTAGTGCCCAAGGCGCGCGGCTGCTTCCTGGGGCTCGGCCGGCTGGGAAGGGGCAGCGAGGGCAGGCGCGTGCCCCGAACCACGCAGGAGGCTGCTGGAGAGGCAGCGGCTGCCGGGCGGGCAGGACGCGCGGCCCACGCACCGGGCTCTGTCCTCYGTGAAGGTCCCCACGCAGAGCAGAGCCCTTCTGCAGAGCCCCGTCTGCCCCGGAGGCTGCTGCCACCCCGGCCAGTCATAACATCAGAGCTGTGAACCTCAAATTACTCCTTAATATCCCCCTACGAAGAGGGTGGGATGCCCTGTAGAAAACAGCTGGGAGGAGTTTCATGGAGCAGAGCCTCTGCCCCGGGCTTTCTTGGCGAGGAAACACAGGATGAGACCCAGAGGCGGCAGCGTCACCACGCAGGGAACGCYGGTGTGACAAGGCCCAAGGCCCTTCCCAGGCACCAGGATCGGGCTGGGCTCGGAWAAGCGAGTTCAAGTGCATCGTGTCACCCGGTCAGAGCAGCAAATGGGAGAAACTATTAAAATTACTGGAAGAAAGCAATTAATTGCAGCAATTTTGGCGTCAGGGCTGGGCTTTTTAGACCTGCTGCAGACACCAAGCAGCAGGTAGGAAGCTGTTTTGGCAATAATCCTGAAAAATGTAGTTTCATTCTTTTGCTTTATGGGATAACCAGGACAGTGTAAACAGCAAAATAAGAATCTCATTGCTTCAGTAACTTTTAACAAGTCCCATATCATTTGTTCTCCAGACAAGAGTTTTCAATCAGCCTTTACAGCTGTTTCTGCAGATTATTTCCACCTTAATTGTGCAAACACAGACCTCTCTTTTGCTCACGTTCTGTCCTGCCAGGAGGCATCTCCAGCAAGCTTGGCTCTGCCAGCTGAGTGTTTTCCAAAAGAACTTCCTAACGCCACGCAGTCCCCAAAGGGACAGCCACTCTTTGCAGATCCTTCTCCGGGAGAGTGTGTTTTTTCCAGGCTGGCATCCATTGCCGGCAACGGACGCAGGGAAGTTGGTCAAATCAGTCGGGAAGCAACCCGGGAAGCGCTGTAATACTGGAAGCACGAGCGAGCGGCACCTGCCCCCCCAGGAATCCCGGCCTCGGCTCCCTGCAGCATCTCCCGGTGCCAGCACGGAGCGCAGCCGGCTCGACGCCGCTTGGGAATTGAGCGCGGAACCCGGCGCCGGGGCGGCTCAGAAGGTGCTCTCGAGCAGGCAGTGGCAGCCGCAGCCCGTGGGACAGACCTCCTGCGTGCGGAACCACTCCATCATGTGGCTGGTGTGGCCGCCGTGGCCGCAGGTCAGGCAGAAGTTGGAGGAGCCGCGCACGGCCACGTGGCAGATGGCGCACTGGAAGGTGAAGCCCTTGCAGAGGGCGCACTGGGTGCCGCGCACCTCGCTGCGGCAGTGGCTGCAGTACACGCCGAACTCTGCAGCAGGGGAGAAACGGAGGGCACGGGCGTCAGCCTGGCCGGATTATGGASACCCCCTCACTCCCTTTGGCAGGGATGGAAAACCCTGAACCCGCCGCCGGAGGGAGCTGTCCCAGCACAGGGGCCCAATAGGGATGGGCTCAAGGTGGGGGACAGCACGTTGTACAGATCCCATTTTGATCTCCAAAGAGGAGCAAAGAGGCATCACCAGCCACCATCAGCAAGGGCACAGAGCAGGCCACCACTTCCCCTGATGGCAAAATCAGTTGTCAGCTGGGAACACGATTCCTAGATCCCAGATTCCCAGCCTGGCACACATGGACATGTGCAGTGGGGATGAAGGCTTCCAGCTGTTCTCATCTGCCTCACATCTCTGCTAGGAGCAAGGAGAGACTGTTTCTCACCACAGAAAGGGTGCCTAGCATATGCAGGGTGCATGTTAACAGCGTTGTGACCACTGGCTGTGGAAGAGCAGAGGCAAAGGTGGAAGGCCCCAGTTTTTAACCAAGAAGAAATCCCCCTCGACAAGGAGAGACAGTGTAACAAGAGCTCGAGAAGCAATCACAGCTTCTCCARTGTCCTTCACCTGAGTGCCTCTTTTCCCACAGGCCAGGTAAGGAGACTTTGCAGCGACTGCTCTTAAGTGGCAGTTCTGGGCAAGCTGCATTGCTGAAAATAATCTTGGAAGAACATTTTATTTGACCACGTCCTGTCTAGCTTAACCAAAGCTAGAGATTTTTACACGTGCATTATAAGAACACCTCGACCCAGAACTAGAGACTAGGGCAGTGCATGTCTTTGCTCCTTTTTAGGAGGAATAAGGTACAGCCACCAGCATAATTAGCTGTACATCTCCAGATTAGCATGTGTAAGTCAGCTCTAAAGCCACTGATCCAACAGCTGCAAACCTCATCTCCACTCTGAGCTGTTGAGAGGGCAGAGCTACTGCTAGGGCAGGCTCATACATGTTTTTCTTCATGCTGGTGGCCTGTTAGCCCCCAGGCCCTCGAGG